GTGTCGGCCAGTTACGAAATGTACTGATGTCACAATCTGTGATCTCTGCTAGGTGTTGTAAAAACTCGTATGCCAATGGTTGTGTTGTTTCTTGGCGAACCTCTGATACTACCTCTTCGAGTTGTTGCCACCATGCTGTAGCTTCTGTTTCGCCGTCGTCCAACGCATTGACTATTTCCAGCAACAGATGGATACTTTGATTGCATTCTCTTCGGTTATTCCCGTCTTCTTCTTCCTTTGTTGCAGATGTGAAGGGAGCCGAGTCCAGCGACGCTTCCAACCATTCTATTGGTGGGTCCGAGGTTGTGTTTACTCCTGTGTGGGGCGGCTCAAAGCATAGCGTTGTCGCTCTCAACTGACCCCTCTGGTTTCCAATAGTTTTCTGTGGGGGTATCCTTCCACATATGTGAATAGCAAATGGCAGTTGGGGTCTGGGGTGGGTCAGACGGCTGGGAGCTGATTCAAATTGGTTGGGACCTGTTTAAGGGGGTAGGGTACTTCCTGGTAGCAAATATTTGTACCAACAGTACCAATTTTATGGTACATATAGAGTACTGTTAGGAAAACTTGTACCAAAATAGTTTATGCGGTACCTCCCCTGTTCAAACTATTATGCTTTGGACCCACCTGTTTCCCAGTGAAAGTGCCTTCTCCGATGGGGTCAAGTTTTGGACCCTACCCTGCCTCCGAACAACATAGACCACCCTTGTAGATCAGAGGGAGCTCTCAAGCCTTGTCCCTTCCCTTCCCTGGTTGCATATCCAAGGTTAGCAAGTGAATGTTACGCAGACGTGACTCATCTGCAGCAGGAGAGCTCAGACCAGGACAAGCCGAGGCAATCCCTGCAGAATCTGGTGTGAGCGCAGCAGTCTGAAAACATCTCTGTGATTGCAAACACATGTAAAGAGGGTTGATCATCATAGATTTTAGCAGCTTGAATAAGGAGTACTCCGCACGGACCGTCCGCTAGTGGCGCTGTACGATGGATGACATTGACTCTCATGAGCAATAAGTAGGAAGTCATGAAGCATGTCACGGAGACAGCATGATCTATACTTGTTTCATAGGAATCTGCTGCAAAGAGTCGGGCTTGAGGGCGGTCTGAGCAATATGCAAGAGTATTGCCAAGGCATGTAAAGAGTTTCAAGGAATACCAGTGCATTCATCAAATGGCAGTGATGAGGTACCACATGAAGGCATGACTTGCAAATTGATTGCATGTCGTGTTCTATTTCATGACTTACAATCAAGACGCTTTTGAGCGACAAAACGATACCCCTTATAGCATTGTAAATCATATTTCATTTCCTTCACCTCGAGTCGAAGCAAGAAATTTTCAAGGTGCTGATATCTTTGTTGTGACTAGACTGACATGGTATCAGGAGCAGTTAATTGATGTTGGATCCGATTGAATCATGCAGACGAAAATGGACATACCCTTTTGAATAAATCTTTCTTCTCGAGTCTCATACCAGAGCTTTCTTGCCTCTTTCTTTGTAACCTAACATGTACAAAGCATTGGCATTTTCTTACACAAAGTAAACTGAGCCTGACCAGCTTCTCTTATTCGCTGCATTCTCGCCCTTCCATCATCCTGATCTTTTCCTCGCTTGACACCCTTGGGCCAATGCGAGTTGCATGCTGCGATATCATCAATTGTTTGGAACCAAGCGATAAGTGGAACAAAGCGCTCAGGTGCTATGCAGGCTGCAATGCATCGCCGGCATTCCAACCATATGGATAAGTTTGCCAACTTTGCGCTGCTCATATTACTTGCAGCGAAAGTAATATATTCCAGATGATAAGGACAATGTATGAGACTTGCGCAGAAGAATGTGCAAACACTTCCACACGACGGTGAGTGTGCACGATTCCACATACACAAGAATGCTGCGCAGAAGTATCTACCAATTTCTTGTCTAACCACTCTTTTGATGAATGAGCATCGACTTCTCTAACATGTTCATCAGGTCATGCAGGCTCATGGAGAAATGATGATGTTGTTAGCAACAACTTGGCTTTGTTTTATTGAAGTACGTTGAAAACATCACCTAGGCCGCTACATATTCCCATGTCCGCTTTGCAACAGTTCTAAACCACGTATCACCATAAAGTTGTACATCATTCGACTAGTCCGATAACATCTTCATGTAGAGCCTCAGTTTCAAGCTCAACGCGGTTTGGAGCGATACTGTGACTTGTTTGCCTGGTATGATTACATGTGACATGCTCTCTTACACAATTGAAGAGTATTGTAGAAAATTCAGTCAAGTGGTGCACAGTTCAGCCTTTCTTTCTTGCTATTCATCAAACATAGTGTATCAAACAGATGTCATCGTGTGGATCGACGCAAAATAAAGATGAACTCGAAGTTCTGTCTGAAAAATGACCCTTTGCAAGTACTGATAGATCGAGAGCAAGTTCTTGATGCTGTATCATTGAGAAGTAAAATGACAGTCATAAGCCAGTGCTATACGACTCGTATCCATCAGCTTGAAATATGAACCACTGAGTTTCATTCCATGAATCATCTTTCCTCCCGCATTCAAACTGAGAAACTCAGTGATTGTCAACTCATGGGCATGGTTTCAGAGTTTGAATTTCCAGCAAGTTGAGGAAGGACAAGGCAGACAGAAGCGTCAAAGAAAGTTGAGGGTCATCAGGGAAGGTCTGACGAGAGTCTGAGACTCATGAACAGGGAAGGATAGGGATGCGCAAGTGTGGAGGGCAGGGAGATGGGGAGGAAGACACCCTCTGCTAAATGTATTTTAAAAGGTACCCATTACAGTACCAGACCAAGACCTGTACCCCCCACCCCCCTGTCGCGTCCGTTGGGTTCGAATCATTTGAAATACTACCACGCCTACCCATCAGGTTCTGGTACAAATCATTACTCCACTATACAAGCGCTATGTGACCCTATCCAAAGACAAATAGGAACGATTGTTTACTTATCTAAGCTCTCAATTACCCCCGGTTGCCGTTGAGCGTGCAGCGCTGGAAATGGACTTTCAAACCTTCCAATCCTTGGTTTTTTTACTCACACACAATTTTGTACTGGAAAACGCCTGGATCTGGTACAAATCCCAATTGTCAGCAAGTTCCTTGACCCGACAACGCTATGATAGCGATGTCTCCATGAACTTTGAAAGGTATGCGCCCTGAAGTGTAGCAGAATCTTTCCCGCTGATTCTTGTCGTCCCCATAGTAAGTAGCGTCATGTTGGAGGAGCTCCCTCAAAATTTCCCGGGTAAGAGCCCTCCTATTTGTTTCCTCTCTCCCTTGGTCCGGTCTGGCAAGCTTCGTGGGTGGCAGGAGCTCGTGTGGTCTAGCCTCCCTTTTTCCTTTCCTTCTCTTGTTTGAGGGCTTCCCTTCCTCTCTGGCTGGCCTTCTTCTCTTCCCTGTTCCTGTCTGCTCTTGACCGAGTTTTGCCCAGATGACGTTCACTTGCAGATATCGTGCAAGGATTTCTTCTGCCTGTTCCCGTTGCTTTGGGAATGTGAAACTCATCGAGATCCAGGTAAGAGAAGCCGGCCGCCGTGGTGGGTGGGATCACCGAGAAGGCAAGGAACCTGTCTCCAATGCCGATGCTGTAAGAGTTCGATACAAACATGTTCCACTGGTTATCGGCGGTGAGGAGGGTATCCGTGCACTGGTCCGAGAGGCAGACCATCAGATCATTCACCTCCGCCGAGCGGTAGTAGAAGGAGAGCGTCCAGTTGACGTCGTAGAGCCTGCCGTAGATCCTGAGCTCGGAGAGGGCATAGTAGGAGTTGGTGCCCCCGATCACCTGCACGAACCATACATACCTCCCAACCCGAGAGCAGGTGATATTGATCCTAACCACGCCGGTGCTGAAATAAACCTGATCCTGACACAGCTTGTTGTTGCCGTAAGCACTGCCATCGTCTTATCAGAGCTCATAGGATAGCGAGCCCAACACAGGAGTGGTCAACACTCGAAATGTGGACAGCACACAAGGATAGCCTCTACAACTATCCAGACGAAAGACAGTGATTCTCTAACGGCTACTTTGGTTCAGAAGTCGGACCCCTCCGGGACGGTTTCCCTATCAAGCACCGGTGGAGCTCTCCTTTCTGGTAGAAACAAGAACAGGAGCAGCGCATGGACCAAAGGGGCCATAGCGACGGCACGAGGCAGGAAGACTCGTGCAAGCGGGGACCACTACCCCTGGGACTCCCACAGGGCTATAAAAGGATCAAGATCTTCATCTCTAGGTGGTCTGTCTTCCCTCCCTCTGTGTACCACGCATTTCCCTGTGTTGGTGTGGTTGCTGCAATAAAGCTTGATAATACTGTCTAGCACCATCTGTGTGATCCAGCGGAGGTTCTTTGAGCATTCGCTTGGCTAGTGTGCAACCCGTAAAGCTTCGGGGTGTAACATAAATTGGTAGTGAAGTGTTGGTGCAGTGTTATCTTGCGGATTTGTGGTGACCGTGTTTCTACTTTCCCCCTTTCCCCTGCCTACCCCTGATGACACATTATACACGTCGCACTGCTCACGCTAGCAAACAGACAGCGACCGGAGACGCACTGCTTTCTGATACGGAATGGCAGTCTGCGGCGGGTCACAGCGATACGGAGGATGTGCTCCCTCAGGAGGAAGATACCCAGCAACTGCCACAAACCTTCGGTGGGGTCAAGGGAGGTTTTCTTCCCCCTGGGAGAAATGTCCTATGGGTTTTTGGATCTGCGATATAAAAAAGTCTTGTCTCGGTCACGTGATGTGTCACGTGACCGGTCAGGTGAGCCTGTCAGCCGGGTCACGGCCCCTGTCAGCCGGCTGACATGTCACGGGCCTGTTGACACGGTCCGCTGACCGGTCACGGCCGCCCGGAGAGATCAGGCCCCCGGCCAATCTCCGGACACTTAGCCTCCTGGCGGGCCTCCAGGGGGTCTGAGGCGGGGCTGAAGGCTGCAGTCGGTCTACTGACGGGCCCGGCCGGCAGGATCCGTCGAGAAACAGGGGGGTCAAGGGAGGTTTTCTTCCCCCTGGGAGAAATGTCCTATGGGTTTTGGATCTGCGATATAAAGGTACC